CCGACGCCTCCCCCCGGTGCAGGGAGTAACGTGGTTATAGTTACAGGGCGAACCATATTTTCCCATGTCCGAGCGTGCTCGGAGACAAATCACGGAGAAGGCCTCAGGCGGCGCGTCGAGGCATCGGGTTTCATCTCGGAACCAATGGGAATGAACGCCAGCCTTGCAGCAGTGGACAGATGTGATGCGATGTGTCTTTAAAAGGGCTCTTGATAGAAAACAAGCGGAGCGAGTGCTGGGCCGGGCGCAGGGTCCCCGGATGAGGCTGTTACAGAGGTGGGCAATGGGGACCGGTGTAGGTCGTGGCCCGGAGCTGCGGGGTCAGTCAGCCGGTGTCCCAGCCGACTATCACTCGCTAACTTGGAGATGCTGGGAAGAGACCGCTGTTCTCTAAGAATCAGTTTCTTCACCTCTAATTGGAGTATAATAATAACACCCACTTGATAGGCTTTTTTGAGAGAATCCTTTGAGATACTACATGGATAGTGCTGCACGCAATTTCTGACATGTGGGAAGCCTTCCGTGACTATTCCCGAGCAGTGGGGACGGCCATCTGACGTAAGGGATGGCCGAGAAGGGGCAGATGCGAGAGCAGTGTAGCCTTAGTGACCAGCCGGGGTGGGCAGGGCCGGAGAGGGAATTCCCCAAGTTACGATTTCCCTCCGAGGCAGCAGGTTGGGGGCAGCCCAGTGGAGAGCCGGGAGAGAGGATGAACCAGCTCATAAGCAGGAGGCAGGAAGGAAGGAGATGGTGAACGAGGCACAGACACACTTAATTCAGAGTAGCTGTTAAACACGCAGATACGGCGCACGGGAGTCCCAGGCCTGGGACAGAGCTGGTGGGTGGAACCACGGGACAGAGGTCGGTTTCTTAGGCTGCACGCAAGATGAGGGCAGCAGCAGCACGGGGTCAGGTTAGGATCAGTCCCGCCTGAGGAGCAGAGGAAACAATACCCGAGCCCCAGGACAGGGGCTGGCATCAGGGCCCAGGCGAGCCCAGCCGGCGGGAGCTCCGAGCGAGGCTTGGATCCCAGTGGCACAAACGGTTGTAAACCAGGTGCAAACACAGTGAGTCTAAGATACACACAGGTGGAGGGAAAGCAGGCTGCCCAGAGGGTGTAGGGGGCCCAAGCCGTCACCTGGGGTCCAGGTGAAGCGCCTCCCCAGTGGGAATGGGTCCCTAACAGACTTGGCCAGGCAGGCGTGGGAATCGGTGGCTTCCGTCCTACGGCGTGACGCTCACGGAGCTCAAGCAGGTCTCAGTGTTTTCAGCTTCCTCTGTAACCCTTCACTCCTCTCCCTCCCAGACCCAGTAAACGGACATTTCCTCCCAATTCCTAGTCCCGCCCCCTCCAGCTGTCCAGATCAGTCCGCAGCTTAGAGTCCCCGGGGTCCCGTTAGACTGCGCATGTGCACAGACTCGCGCGGGGTCGCCCTCCGCCGCTGACTTCCGGGGGCGCCCGTGCGGCGGTGCCGGGACGAGCACGCGCAGGACAGTCGCTGTGGAGCGCCAGGCTTCCCAGTCCGGCTTTCCGGGGCGGTTCTGCCCGCGCGCGCGGGCTCAGCGTCGCGCACGCCCTGCTGGCTGCGCGCCTCCGGCTGCAGGTTCACGGCCGCTCAGAGGTCAAGGCTGACCCTGGCAGCCAGCGGCACAGCAGTCACTGAGCGCCTGCTCTGTACCCTGTGACCCTGAGTGCTCAGGCTGAGACGGCATTTCATCCCCTGACAGCTCCAGGGGGCAGTCTCTTGCTCTGCTGCTGCAGAGGGACCCGAAGCTCCTCCGCCGTGCGTCATGCGCTGGGGGTCTTGAAAGGAGGAGCGGGTAGCGCTCGGATTCTAATTTAGGCCCGGCTTCAAGATCCCTGCCTCTGGCTGTCAGGCTGTGAGGGGGCAGATGCTTCTGAGAGCGTGTTCCCTTTTCTCGGGGGCAGGAGTTCACGTTCATGTGGCCGAAGACGCTGAGCACCGAGTAACCCCTGTTAATAAGTGAAGGAGTCCAGCGGCCGGGTCAGCGGCTGTCCCCTCGTTAGCGGAGCGCGGGGCTGGGAAGGGGGTTGTCCTTGCTAATCGTCTAATGGACGAAACGCCACACTTCGCTCGCCGGGAAAACAACCCTCCAACACCTCCACGCGCCACCTGCCCCCTTAGCTGGTTTTCTTTGTTCTAGAAAGAATAGCACACGCGAGTTCCCGAGTGTGCCTGAGCAGGTGGCAGAGCCGACAGGTGGCGGGGTCAAGTGCACAGCAGTGTGCTGGGAACAGTGCCTGTCGCCGGTCACCCGACTTCAGCCCCTGCTAATGGGAGTCACTTCCCCGCTCTGCCCCATGGCTGATGCCCGGGAAATTGGGAGTTGAATGGGATTGGAAGAAGAAGGACAAGGTTAAAAAGACCTCATGCGCTGGAATTTGAGGGGAACCATGAAGAGTCGGGGAGAATGCATTAGCCGCACCCCCACTTGGGGGGCGCAGCAGGGGAGCCCGGGGATGGGGGTCCCCTAGGGAACCCCTGGCTGGGCTGGGCTGCACAGTCTGGCCATAGTCAGACTGGCCCGTGGTGGGTGGTCATCGAGAGGCGGGACGCTCAGAACTGCGGGCAGGGGACAGAGTAGTGTCTGAGAACTGCCCGCTGCAGCTCACAGTTAGAGGGCTACTCTCGGCAGGTGACTGACGAGGTAACGTTGGTTAGCAACCCAACGAGCAAGAATTATGAGGCTCGTTTCAGAGATGGAGAGGCCTTGCCGGGCATGCTGTGCGGCCAGATAAGATCCCAGGCCCTGCCTCTTTTTTTTCTTAGATTTTATTTATTTTTAGAGAGAGGGGAAGGGAGGGAGAAAGAAAGGCAGAGAAAGATCAATGTGTGGTTGCCTCTCAAGTGCCCCCTCCTGGGGACATGGCCCACAACCCAGGCATGTGCCCTGACTGGGAATCAAACCCGTGACCCTTTGGTTTGCAGGCCGGCGCTCAATCCACTGAGCCGCCCCAGCCAGGGCCCTGTCTTTTGGCACCAGTGCTATTTGGCTACATACGCCATGCCATTCACGACGCACTGGACTGGTTTCCTCAGCAGAACCCTAGAAATTCCCACGTGATGAGTCCCTGGGCTGCTGATCCGTTCCTCCAGGGACCCCACAGGTGGTCGCTGAGTGCTTGGCAGGCTCAGACCCCTTGGGGAGTCGCTAAACCACAAGTACCCTGTCGTGTTCCCTTCCCAGGCTGGCAGGGGGCAGAAAGCCTCCCCCCCAGCCCCCAGGCGTTCGAACCTAGTTCCTCAGAGCACTCTCGAGGAGGACAGGCCCTGGCCTGGAGACCGGAGGACGCGGGTCCAGATAGGGTGCCTTGCCCACGTCAAAGCTGCTTCTATGAAGACATCCCTCCCTAAGTGTGTGCTAGAGCTGTGACTGTGACTCCTTTGCAGGGGGTGTCGGGTGAATGTTGACACCCACGCATGAGACCAGTCCCCTCCTGCGTGGGCTCAAGTCCACCTGAGTTCCCCAGGTGCCTCTGCCCCAGGCGGCCTGAGGCACACTCGAGGGGGCTCCTGGATTCACTCCCCAACCCCTGTGCATTCGTGTTCCTCTTTTCTGCTTCTCATCATAGTTGTGTCTCTGCTGCTAACCTCAGACCAAGCCAGAAACTCTCAACTCTCCTCCCACTCCCCCGAGGGCGTTGTGTCCTCTTCGCCTGGGATTTCTAGCTCTTGCCCTTGAGCTCACGGAGGTCCTCAGCCTCTCCAGCACTCCCCCGGCCTTTCGTTCGCTGAAGTGTCCCTCTCGGTCGTGGGCAGCCAGCCTCGGGTGTCCACTTCAACGTCTCCGGCTCTTCGCAGCCTCCCCCGCCGCCCGGCTGGCCCTTCCGCGCTTTTGAACTTAGCCTGCGGCTTCTGACGGGAAATGCTGCGCGTCCCTCAAAGCCTTCCTTCGCCCTTCATCTCCGTCCCCTTTGCCTGGTCGCCGGCTGCCAGGGAAGTCACTTCCCCCTGAAGTCACGCTCCCTGGCTTCACCGTCGGTATGGATCAAACACGCGTGGAGTGCCTGTGGGCTCCACAAGAGCCAGGGCAACAAGACGAGACGCATCCCTCACCAGACAGGTGCGCCGGGCGTGCCGGGCGCGGGGCCCGATCCTCGCCGGGTCATTATGGTGCGTGTCTGAAGGGGACGCTGGGAACCCCGACAGCGCAGGGAGGTTTTAGGAAGGGGAAGATGTTTCCCAGGAAATGAGGCGAAGCGTCCCAGAGCTGGGGAGCATCGCAGGCCCAGAGGCAGGGGTGCGAGGCAGCCCCGGGGGAGCTGGTGTTCGGAGGCCGGGGCTCAGGGCGCTGCGGGAAGTGAGGTGAGGAGGTGAGGGGAGCCGTAAAGGTCTCGCAGAAAGTGTGGAAGGCGATGGAGGAGCAGTGAAGGTGTTTGTTTGTTTGTTTGTTTTAACCCTCACTTGAGGACATGCTTATTGATTTTAGAGAGAGGGGAAGGGAGGGAGAGAGGGAGAGATACCTTGATCGTCCACCCCTTGCTTGCATGCACCCCGACCGGGGACCGAACATAGAACCTGGCGTGTGCTCCATCCAGGAATCAAACCAGCGACCTTTCGGTTTACGGGACGATGCCCAACCCACGGAGCCGCACCGGCCGGGGCAGGGGTGAAGGGTTTAAGGAGAACCCTAACAGCCGGGTTAGAAAGACCGCCTGGACGCGAGACAAGGTGCTGCCCGCGGCAGCGGCAGGCCAGAGGCCGGACAAGCGGTCCTGCAGGGTTGGAAGAGACGAGGAGGCAGACACGTTTTCAACGTTGAGGGAGCACGTTGTGGACGTGACCTAGTGACTGATTGGACACTGGGGCGATGGCGGGTTTCTGGAAAGGGCGGCCAGGTGGGTACTGGGGCCGTCCGCAGTGACAGAGAAAACGGGGAGGGGCCGGTGAGCGGGGAGGCAGGACAGCCTGACCCCGTGGCGCGAGGCGCCGCCTGGGATGCAGGAGCTGACCGCACCCGCTCACTCTGTGTTGCAGCCCTGGCGGAAGGCCTCCAGGTGACGGTGCCCGACAGGAAGAAGGTGGCCATGCTGTTCCAGCCCACGCTGCTCCGCTGCCGCTTCTCCACGTCCTCCCACCAGCCCGCGGTCGTGCTGTGGAAGTTCAAGTCCTACTGCCAGGACCGCATGGGGGAGTCCCTGGCGCTGTCCTCTCCCCGGGCCCAGTCTCTCAGCAAAAGGAACCTGGAATGGGACCCCTACCTGGACTGCCTGGACAGCCGGAGGACCGTCCGCGTGGTCGCTTCCAAACAGGGCTCCACCGTCACCCTGGGCGACTTCTACAGGGGCCGAGAGATCACCATCGTGCACGGTAATGCCGCCGCCGCCTCCGCGCGGGGGCCGGGCGGCGGGAGGGGCGGTGGGAGGGGCCTTCGAGCTGTTCTTCCCAGACATGGGGGTGCCGGCCAGCCTCTCAGCCCTCCGGCCCCTCAAGACGTGGGTTTTGTGGGGCACGGGAGTGTCACGGAGCCTCGCACACTGCTCTCGTGGGAGGGCGAGGGGAGGGAGGGTGGGGCGGGAGGTGTCCGGAGAGGCGCTCTGGAAACAGCCCTTCCTGAGCCCGCCCTGCAGTCTGAGGACCCCATTGCCGGAACTGCGAGGGAACAGGTTCTAGGGAGAGAACTCCCCCGCGCAGCTGCCGTGCACCTTGGCGTCGGTCTGGAGGGCTCCCCTCTGAGCTCAGGAGGCAGATGCCCGCCCTGGGGGTGGGGATGCCCGCCAGGGAGTTCCGGAGCCAGGCCGCTGCTGCGCCCACACCCCAGGAGGTCCCGTCTCAGTTCCGCCCTTTGTCCCCAATGCCCTGGCCAAGACGAGGTCCCGAGAGTCGGACGGGACCTGGGGGATTGTCTGAGGTTCGAAGACGTCCTGCAAAGCCTGCTCCTTTGCAGGAGTCCGGAGTAATTCTCGAGTGTGCGTGTCTCGGGGTCCCGTGCCGGCCCGCTTGGACCGGGCGGGGAGCAGGACCGGATTCTGCGGGGGCTCCGAGTCTCTCGCCTTGGGGACGCCAGGTTTTGTTCCTTCCCCCGTTTGTTTTCGGTAACGCAAACATCTTGTCGGCCACCGTCCAGGGAAAGAAGCAGGCAGCTGCAGGCGCGCCTCAAGGGCCCCCTCCCACCCCTCGGGGTCCAGCGGTCCCCTGGGGGGGCCTGCTTCAGGACGGGGTTCTTCTTTTCCCGCCAACAGACGCCGATCTGCAAATCGGGAAACTCATGTGGGGCGACAGCGGACTGTATTACTGCATCGTCACCACCCCCGACGACCTGGAGGGCAAGAACGAGGACTCGGTGGAGCTGCTGGTGCTGGGTGAGTGGAGACGGTCAGCCAGGCTCCGGTGTCGGCCGGCCCGCGGCGGCCTCTTCTCCTCCCCGGTCCCCGTGCACACGCGTGTGCCAGCGGGCCGCACAGTGTGCCTTCGGGGCGGGGGCTGTGTTTCTTCTGCCTTGTTCCTCGAAAGCTGCGGCCCTCTTTCCAGCATTGCCCTGGATGGTTTCTCTGCTCCCTGAGTTGTGTTCTCTTTTCCTTCCCTCCATTTGCACGGTTCACCCCGGCCCCCTGGCTGCTCTCTGCTCTCCGCTGTACTTATCCTTTCATTTGCCGGTCGCTGAAGAAAATGCCAGAAGCCTTTGAAGCAGGGTAGAGACCAGGGAGAGCTAGGGACCCACTGGCCAGTCAGGACCTCCACGAGAGACCTCGGGGACCTTTCCACGTTTGTTGGCGCCGCGTGGGACAATGACGGCAAGGATGGTCGTGAACTGACGAGTGTGTGTGATATTCAACGGCGCTGATGGAAAGAGCTACCGAGGGTACGGCGGTGTCTCAGCTGAAGGCGAATTTCCTGAAACCCTGAAGTGTCTGAGTTCTGCTCAGAGCCGAATATCTGTCTAATCCTTAGTCATATTCATTTCCCCCCCCCGCCCCCCATGAAAACTCATTCCTTCTGGGCACGTTCCTCTCCCGTGCATGGGAGGGATGTCCGTGGGAGATGACTGCTCCCCCGCACTGGAACTTGGGCACGTGTTTCGTGCCCTGTAGATGCTGGCTGAACAAGGAAATTAGAATAAAACGTGGGAATGAAACGAGAAACCACGTGATTCGTAGGAGAAAAGGCAAACACTTCAAGCCACCTTTTAAAAGAAGTTACAGCGGTTTGTGGCTGCCAAGAGCCCACGTGATGACGGTTTGGGGGGAGATTTAAGGTGCTTTGTTTTAAAGGCAGATGAAGTTCAAAGTTAATTTTCACTTCCCTGGGAAACTTGGCACCCGGGGAAAGTAGAATTTGCTACTTTGGAGTTTTCGGTTTACTCCACCAGGACGGTGTGATTTTGGTAGATGGACAGTTCCACTGCTTTCATTTTATAGCTCACAAAACGGAGTAAGGTAATAATTATTTATTAATCATTAAATCTTTAATAGTAATCACCCACCCGTATTAGGGCCTTGACGTAGCTCAAATACATGCACACCTTGTATTCTCCAGCGTGGAGTAAGCCCCCCCGTGATCTGCAAGGGAAGGGGAAAGGTGGCAGATACTGACAAGGAGTCAGAGACGCAAAACAGCCTTCCACCGACGCTGTGAAAACGCCCAGGGAACTCAGATTGGGGATCAGCGGTGACTTGGTGACTCAGAAGGGATCAAAAGGTCAATTCTGCCCGATCACCCGTCGCTGATGGCCAGGCCTGCGACACCGGACTGCGCTGGGCCTGAGTCCGCTCACCGCGGACGGTTACTGAGCCCGCGCAGGTGTCCGCGGGAGGTAATCGCGGGATGGGGGAGAGGCCACAGGTAAAACCCCCGTCGATTATTCGGCCCTGGCTCGGCGATCCCGAGGGGATGAAGGGCGTGAGCTCTGCCCTGGGAGGAGGCCCAGAGGGCGGGAAGGGCGTTCCCTGGATCAGACACGCAGAGTAATGCGGGCAGAGACGCCGTCCTGGGACACAGACGTGGAGAAAGGGAGGCTCCGATGAACGTGGTCGCCGGCGAGAAGCAGCACAGCCAAGAACGGAAATCAGTGCCACTTAAAGCCAGCGGGAGGGCGGGGGGAGGCAGCAGAAGCAGCGAGATAAACAGGGGCGGCACCCGGGCTGGGGGGAGGGGACTCACGCCCCGCCCTGCGAGCTTCAGAGACGCTCAGAGCTCCAGAGCAGCCGGGTCAACTTTTCCGGGCAGCGCCAGCTGTGTGAGCTACCTAAAGGGGTTAGTTTGCGATCTGTGAGGACCTTCGGCCTGCGCCAAGGACCCGGTTTACTTCCCGAATGCAAGATTCTGCGTCTCCGCCGTCTTGACTCCCTTGACAGAATGTTTCAAAATACTGTCAGCGTTTTAGAAGTTCCAAGTACGGGGTGGTTTTGTCCGGAGGGCCGTGTTAGGTGTTCTTTCCGGGTGAGCCCCAGGGAAGCTGATGTCGGAGGTGGGCCTCACAGATGGAGACCTCGGTGGGGGCGGGAGGGATGCCTGGGCCGGGTGTGCTGGCTTCAGCCTCCGGGGCCCCGGGCTCAGCCGTCGAAAGTTGCGTGGGGCACGCCCAGAGGGTCCGCTCTAGTGGAAGAGGGCTGGACACGGGGGGGTGGGGTGGGGGGGGACAGTGTCTCCCAAAGAGAAATCGTGTGGAAGAGGGACTGGGAGCCCACGGGGTGGCCAGGTGACGTGAGAACAGGGGGGTACACGTGGCCAGGGTGGGCGTCCGTTCCGGTGCGCAGCGGGGGCTGGGAACGAGTGGGGACGGACACCCGAAGACAGACCGTCTTCTGGGGGGCGGTGACGCCTCTGTCCCAGGGAGGCTGGCGACTCCCCGGTGGGTGAGTGAGAGCCGGCGTCTGTGCGCAGGGAGGTCCTTAGCCGAGTGACCCTGGAGCTTCGTTTCAAGTCGGAAATTCTCACGTTGGAAAGGAGGAGGGCGTGAGTGACGTGACTCCCCTGGATGAACGAGGACTGGGCCCCCCAGGGGTGCGCGGTGCTGCGTGGAGGGCTCCCACTGGCTGCCGCTCACGGCCCGGGAGCCGGGGAACCCACGGTGGCCTTTCACACGGAGGTCCGGGCTAGGTCTGGGCTAGCCGGAGTGACCCTGCTGCTGCTGGTCACTGAAGCTGCAGCTCTTCTTGGGGGCGACCACAAAACACGGAGCAGAAGCTGGCGGGAAAGTCCGCTGGCCGGTTACTACGGAAAGCGGGGTCGGAGGGTCGAATCAGAGGCCCACCTAGGAGGGATTTCGTTTTCTCACGACACACAGAGGTGAGGATGGACAAGGGGACGGAGCCGGGTTAAGTGCCTCGTGGGTGGGTCTGAGGACTCGGGACTCTGTCCCGAGGACTCTGGGGGCCGGTGGGGAAACATGAGCAGGAGGAGGAGCCAGACCTCAGGGCTGGAGCGATGACTGGCGGCCGGGCAGACAGAACCCCCTGGAGACGGGGTGCTGGGAGAGAGGGGTCCCTTAGAGGGGCAGCTGCCGGGTCACACGGATGAGAGGCCGTGAGATCCTGAACCAGAGGGGTGGGTGGACAGGAGACAACGTCTGACAGGAACGTTCCTGAGAAGGCAGGGCTGGGTCTCGGAGACTAAGGTGTGAAAGGAACTGACAGGCGGTGGGGGCAGCGAGATGCGTCAGGAGGTCACCGTGCCTCCTGGCCCGCTGGGCAGCCACCTGCTCACCCACTCAGAGACAGCGCAGGCGGGGGCTGGGGGGCGGGAGGGGGAGCTGGCTCCCGACGTGCTGGCGGTGAGCGGCGTGAGCGGCACCAGGTGCAGTCCCAGTTAGAAGCGTGTGACTCAGCGGAGAAACGAGGACGAGCGGCCATGGCGTGCGAACCACGGGTGACAGTGGGGACCGTGAAAGGCCAGGTGAGTCACCCAGGAGGCTCTACAAAGTGAGGAGGGCCAAGGGCAGCCCCCGTCGGCCCCACGTTCTGGTTTCGCTCCGTGAGAGCGGAACCGTGGCACCGCCCGTGGACTTGTCTCGAAACCGTGGAAGCTTCCCCGCAGCGCTGGCCCGCGGGCCCTTCAAGGCGAGGGCCCACTCGCGTGGGTCTTCCCGTCGGCCCTGCCCGGCCGGGTGTCCACCGCGCAGAAGCTGGAGGGCGTGTGCTTTAAATGACAAGCGGGCAGAAGGTGTAACTGACACTCACTTCGTGCCTCTCAAATGCTCGTCAAGCCTGAGCCTGTGTGTGTTCGCTGATGAAGTGTCACAAACGTCTGTAGTTGCAGATGAGCTCACGTGGGTCAGTCTCATTGGTCCGCCTTCTCTCTCCGGGCATTTAGATTGTTACTGGTGGCAGACTCCATCCGGGACTATGGAAGCAACAGGGTTAGATGCTGGTTAACCGGAGCGGAAGGGGGCTCATCGGAAGGAAATCAACATTGCGAGGAAGACCGGAAAGACAGTCTCTGAAAAGGGTGGCAGTGTGTTAGGGGACACGTGTTAACTTCCGTAGAGGCAGCCCCCCAAACCTCAGCTCCGTGGAAGCTGGTTACTGCATCTGGTCCGAGATGTGGGTGGGAGCTCCCTGCCCCCCCCCCGCCCGTCGCTCCCTCCCGGGGGTTGGTCCAGGGCCCCGGGCGTCCGCGTGGTTCAGCTCTGCTGGGGTGACACTTTCGCTCCCTGCTGCGCAGAGAGGGAGGACAGGGACTTCTTAGAGGCCGGGGCTGGCACAGACACGGGGCGCTTCTCGCTATTTTGCCTGCGCCCAGAGAGAATGTTCTGATGGTCACGGCCTGGTCCCTGTCCTGCCCGAGGTGCTCCAGGGTCCGTGCGGCGAGAATGGATGGGCAGTGAGTCCATTCAACCTTTTATTTTCCCTGACCTTGCATTTTCCCACTTAAGAAGCAGTCTCGGGAGAGAGCGTCCGGTTGGCCCAGTTTGGAAGGTCAAGGGCTCTCGGAGGGGGGTCTCTCAGGCTGTGGAGGAGCATGGATGTCCCGAAGTAAACGGGGCGCTGCTGCTACAGAAAAGGGGGACGGAAGGCGAGGTGTCCCGGATTATCACACGGCCATCGCTGTGTCTGCTGCTCACGTGCACGCACACTGCCGACCATTGGTGGTTCCCAGAGTGTTCCTGCTTTGTGAGGCGGGGGAGCAGGGACTATTTTCCTCGTTCTCCAGGAGAAGAATTTAACGTGCAGGTTTTGTAACTCCTCTCCCAGGGGAGAAGCGGGGTCGACGACCAAACCCCGGTGTGTGGGTTCCTGGCCTCACCCCCTCCTCCAGGGCCCCCGACCCGTCCCCGTGAAGAAGCTGTGGGTCGGTCGCCGCTCAGAGTCACAGGGGAGACGTGAACTGGTCCCAGTTCGGCTCTGGGACTTCGCTGTGGTTC